ACGGCGAATCTTAATGACTGTACTAGTCAATCGTCCACGCACGGAAAGCCGCAGGATCCTCATCTTTTCGATAATGAAAGAATCGATCTTGTTCAAATGTACGTATGTCTTCATTGACAGATCGACACGGAAAGCCACAACATAAGAAGAGATATATCATGGATCATACGGGGTGTACATACCGATAGTAGCTCTTGTATGGAGGCAGTAAACTTGGGACCTGCCGTCATTCGTATGCATGTGATGGACAGGTATCCATATTGCTGATGGCCTATGTTCTTTTGTTCAAAAATCGGTCTTCATCTGGCATATGTCGGGTGAGGAATTACCGACTCTGACAGACAGAAATAAGTTACGTCCGACATCTATGGAATCTATACGTACAAGTCACTCACCAGTTTAAGAGAAGCTGATAAATACGACTTCGTCATTCCTTCCTGTGAGCTTCAATCACGTGCGAGAGGTGAGAGATTGTGGCATCAACGCGGTGATTGAAGAGGTCGACGTGGGGAGGTCCATGCTTGACCGTGTTCTGCACATGAATAGTATGTAAGATGACTTTGATATCGGCTTTATGTGTCTGTCATCGACAATCAGATATCACTCGAATGTCGTTTGAAGTCACTGGCCTGCATGGAAGTCAATACAGACGCGTGAAGCGATGTCGAAATGTCACGTACAACAACAAAGGTACTTGGACATGCAAGAGATACCCGTCGACGAGAGTCCAGACACAACGATGAGAAAGGGAACGCAAACCCAGCATAGCCCTGCGGCGTCGTCTTCTCTTCCCATTCCAGGTAGCGGGAGGCAAATTTAGCAACTTAAATACCTCATTTGCTCATGATTCCTCTCCTCCTCAACTCGTGCTTCTTACCGCCGATCGGCCAGTGAATTCGACAAATCACGTTTCCGCGTACCTGGTCCTTTATGCCACGGCCACGTTCATCTAAAAAAATAACGTCTAATTATCGATGGGTCGATGAAAATTGACAAGGAAGAGTGTTGTGTCAGCACCTCCAGGTCCCGGAACAAATTGTCCTCGTACCTTGGAGTCGGAGGGCCGGGCAAGGGTGTCGATGGGGCGTTCTCTGGACCCAGTATAAAAAAGCAGCGAGTGACCAACTTCTTATTCCTTGAACGATGCAATCCTTCACTCGTCTTCTCTCTCTTGCACTTCTTGCGGTCATCGTACGCGGTAAGTACTCATCTTCTATGCGAAGGTGTGTTTAACCTTTGCGTTATCGTAGGCGATTCCGCAAGCGTATCATTCGTCCCACCGTCGCAGCAGGGTGTTCCTGGCGCTGCCAGCGTCGTCCCTGCGAACGTAACCACTGACGTTCAGGCCATCGCTGACACTGTAACTGCCGTCGACCAAAAGTCGGGTGCAGCAGCTGATGCGCAACCCAACTTGCCTGTCGCAAACACCACGGTCACTGCTGTTGATGGTCAAGTGGTCACCAACGGCACTTCGGTTGATCCTCTCTCTTCACGGGATCTTTCTTTCTCCAAGCGTACAGTTCCTGGATACACCCAGGTATTTTCTGGTACGGGCACTGGACCCAACGATCGCGATGCTTCGATTGAGGGAACAGCCTATCTCACATACACCTTGGTCAATAACGCCACATACAACATCGACGACTGTCTTACCTTCTGTAACAAAGTAGATGGATGTGGTAAGTTATCCGTTTCGTTTAGTTTTTTCATCACCTTGCCTAATGAGCCATCGATCAGTCTTCGTTAACCTCTACTACGAGTTCAACAATGCCCTCCTCGATTGGGTCTTCAGCGAGCACTCGAACCTTAAGTGTGCAGCTTATGGAGATATCCATAGCGCAGCTGAGAAGACCAACGGGGGTGGACAGCAACTCGAACCTCTCCCACATGGGTTGACATACATTCAACAATCCAGTGGATGGGCAGCCAATACGCTCGACAACCCCTCTGATCCTTCCGGCTATCAGCTCGTCTTTGGACCCACCAACGGCGCGAATAATGCTCCTGGAGTAAGTCGCATTATGAACTCGGGTGGAAATAGTAAGATACTGACCATTGTAGTACATGGGATTCGCCTTCATTGACAAATACGACGTCGATGCTTGCGCTGCGTTATGCAACACTCGTGGTTCCGACCGTGTTGGTGGTGCTTGCCAATACTTCAATATTTGGCGTGCGCTCGTCAATGGTGTTCCCACCACCTACACCTGTTCTTTCGTGAGTTATACCTGTCCATATCATTTAAGGTTACGACCCTTACCCGATGATCCCAGTACTACCTCGTCGCTGATGCATCTACCGCTGTCAACTATGGCCAAGGTGACCTCCAAGTCACATACTCCCGTGGTTACAAACGTCTCTCGCTCGCCGTCGATGGCGGTTTCGAGGGATACACTTGCGGTGGCGACGACTTCTGTTATGACGCCTCTAGCAGCACATGGAAAGGACTTTCACCCGCTGGAGGCTCTCTCGACGCTTCCATCTTCCATTACGCTCCTTACGCTCGTACCGGATCCAGTGTTGGTCTTCTCGGATCCGCAAGTGGTGTAGACAATCTCATAGGTACCCTTCTACCTGCCCAACACCTGAATACAGTCGCCGGACAACAATACTCCATCACCTTCTTCACGAACACTCTCTACGCTGGTACAGATGCGGAGGCAAGCGCCCAGGTCACTCTTGAGTGGAATGGAACCCCAGTGAGGAACATTTCGTTGGGATATGCAGACTGGACGTACTATGAGACAACGGTAACGGCGAATGGTAACGATAACTTCGCATTGTATGGCGGATCGGCACCGGCGTGGATCTTCATAGACGACGTGTATGTATGGGCGTTGTGATTTTGGAATTTTGAGATGACAAAGTTAAATTACTCGTTCGTATACGGACGTATTGTTTCGTAGTTCTTTTGTTTCTTGGGTCTTGGAGGATTCAAATATTACTATCTCATTATTTGTTTCAGTATGAGAGGGACCTACAAAGAGGGTTTTTTTACAGACGGATAAAGGGCTAGTCCGGACTATTGAGGAAGCAACTTCCCAAGAATTGGTGATCCAACACTTGATACGTGATTAATGCTTTACAAGACCCTCGCTTTTGATGAAAAACTTGGATCTGCAACGATCTTTAATGTTAAACTATGGCAAACAGACCTAGAACTCACAAGATCTACTAGTACAGACGTCTAGATAGATAGTATTTCGTAGTGGCTGGAGGAACAGTCCAAATAGTTGCGAAGTAGAGTTCATAAGAATGAAGCTTTGTAGAGGTGATGGTGATGGTCAAGTGGAGGAACGAAACTGTCACAAACTGGTGACGACGCGTGATGGTGACTGACTCTCTTTCTCCCAACGACCTCCATCACAGTGGAATTCGAATTAAAACTTCTTACGTACATGAAGGTTTCTAACTATGAG